TCACCAAAATTTTCAATAATTTGAAGTTTATTCGGTGTCTCTCTCATCTTCCATCTACCAAAACAAAAAAAAAATCAAAGTAAAATCAAAAGTTGAAAAATAGAACATGAAAGAGACATAAAAGACATAAGAGAAGGGAAGAGAGGCGGAAGAAAGAGACATAAAAATCAAAGTAAAATCAGAAGTTTGAGACTTTGAGTCTTTGAGACTCTTCAGTCTTCACTGAAGAGAAGAGAGGCGGAAAAATCTAAGTGAGTGAGGGGGTGTGTAAAAAATGAATAAGCCTAACCCTAAAATTTTAGTGTAGTATTTATATAGGTACATATAGTTTCGGATTTCGGATCGGATCAGATTTAGATCATACCAATCCGAATCCAATCCGAAAATCCGAAATTTTATAAAACACAATCCGTATCCAATGCGATAATCTGAAATCCGAAATCCAAAAATCTGAAATACAGTGGATCGGATTGGATTTCGGATATCCGATCCAAATGCACAGCCCTAGATCGAGTGGTACGCCTACCACTTGATGTTACGAAATGGGATCGAGTGGTACGCCTACCACGTGATGTTATAAAATGGGAGCGAGTGGTACGCCTACCACGTTATATTATGAAATGGGATCGAGTGGTACGCCTACCACGTGACATGAGGAAATGGGATCTTGTTGCACGCCTGCAACGAGAGAACATTGAACAAGTGAAAGTGGTTTGTTTTCCCTTATTTTGTGTTAGAAGAAATAGGATGTAGTTTCTTCTATTATTCCTGATAATCTATTTTATCTGCTACCCCATAAGCATGTTCCCCTCCCAGTTTTAATTGTTTACTTTTCGCTATTATGTTGTTGTACTTGTATATATATCTGCACAGGTTTATCTGGTAGTCTGGTCTAGCCTCGTCACTACTTCGCCGAGGCTAGGCTAGGCACTTACCAGCACATTGGGGTCGGTTGTGCTGATGCTACACTCTGTGCATCTTTATGCACAGATCACGGAGCCGGAGCAGCTTTTGGACAGCAGTAGTTGATTGGGAGCTGAATTCAGTCCAGAGATTTCGAGGTAGCCTTGCTGACGTCCGCATGGCCCGGAGTCTCTTCTATCTTTGTCATTCGTTTGTTATCCTTGTCCGGAACAAACAGTATTGTGTTTTATTCAGACCTTGTGTTTAGCATTCTATAGATGTTCGTGAGTTAGTGACTCCAGTCTTGGGTAGAGGTTGTAATTGAATTTCCGCACTTGTTTTCAGTTCATTTATATTTAAAACTTCCGCTTTTATATTAAATGTCTCATTGCCTTAATATTGTCGATGTTTGCCTAAAAGGTTAATAATTAATTGGCTTGCCTAGCTCCTAATAGTAGGCGCCATTACGACTCCCGACGATGGAAAATCCGGGTCGTGACAATTGCCAAGGCATATAACTCGATTTTCCATGGAAGTTCTGCTTACATAACTAATTATGTTTGATATTTGAACCAAAATCATGGCATAGACTTTAGAGTGTACCGATCTCAAATGCCATTAAAAGGTACTTCAGAGGACAAGAAGTGTGCAAAGCAGAAACAGTTAAATCACCCAAGAAGTATGCAGAGACGAAACAGTTAGAATATTCAAAGGACAAAATGACACAGATATTACATTCTAAGGCAGGTGTTCAGGACAACTAGATCTAAAACAGCTGCAAATATCGCCCAAAAATACAGCAAAACAGATGCAATTATCGCCCAAAAATGCAGCAAAACAGCTAAAGAAATTACCTTCCCAAAGCTTCTGCAAAATTCAGCAATTCTCCTTCTGAAACCAACCCAAAAATACGGCAAAACCCAGCTGAGAAGCCAGTCGTGCAAGCTTAAAATAAGCTGGATCATCCTACTGCTACAGCTGGTAATTTAACTAATAAAACCAGCTGATCTTAATGCTAAAGTTGTGAATCATGAATTGCAAGAACATATGGTACTGAAGTGTTGGAGGGTGCAACTGATAATAGCACTGATGATATCGCCCACTGATGATAATATCCAGAAGATGGGCTATCCCCCTTCTTATTCATTGGCATATACGGAAAGCAAGAAGCAAAAAGAAAATATGAATGTGAAAGAATTTATGTAACAAGAGCTATCCAACAAATTTGTTGTGATGCCACCATCATCCTCCATAAACAGTTCAGCCAGATTGAGGTCACTACTCCCTACAATACTTTGGTTACACAAGCTGAAAGGGCTACTCCGCAGATGAAGATAATCAAAGTACTATAGAAATTTCCCCTAGAAAGCGCAGCTAAAATAAGTACTGATGCTAGTACTACCTTTTAGAAGCAGATATCAGAAGCTACAGGCTATGTTGAGATATCAACCAGCTGCAGAAACTTCTAATTCTAAAACTACAACTGGTAAACAAACTTTATCCATGATGTCGTCGGCAACAAAACAACCAGAAAGAGGGGCTGACCACACAAGAGAACAACATGAAGACACGATGAGGGAAGATGAGTTAAGTGATGAACCTGTCCAGAATTTAAACGAGCTAAACACTCAAGGATCTGGTTCGTTAACACGACAAGGTGGTATAGCAAAGGAAGGGGCAAGTAGCATTTAGATTTTAGATTCATATTTCAATTTTTGCCTTAATCTACAATCATAATACTTCTTTCAAGGCGGGGTCTAGTGAATTCTGCGTTTTGATCAAGAAACATGAATATATTGAAAATAGGCATAATTATATGAACATAAATCTCATTCTAATTGGTAAAGTTAAATTGAAAGTCGCTTTCATTACAAGTAAGGAATCTTAATTCCCTTTAAGTTGCAAATGTAGCAGTTAAAAGTGTTCCAAGCTTAAACTTTTATCCTGCACCTTTATCTAATTAAAATCTAAACCACAAATTATCTATTAATGCTACGACCATTTCCAGCAGCCAAAAGGACATAACAACTCCAATAACAACAGTTCCACAACCAAATTACCAACAAAAAAATAAAACAGTTCCACAACCAAAAATTTTGCACTGGAAATTATTTTCGACCCCAACAAAAATAATTACAATAGCAAAAAAATGCACTGGAAATAGCAGAAATCAAACAGATTCTGCAAAGTAAATCTTTAGCTCCCATTCTTTTCCACGCCAATAAGTTTCCCAAGTATTGAAACATGTCTGCTCTTTCTAACTAGATGCTCACAACCATTATTCCAAATAGTTCCCAAATTTTTTACAAGGACAGTCAATTAATCGAGTTAATAAACAAAATAAACATGAATTTCGACAAATCGATAGGAATACAACAGATCTGCGAAACCATATAAAAGGGGAAACCACGTTGTATGCAGCTGAAAAAATAGTACGAGTTAAAAATTTTAATTACTGTAAGAGATAAAATATAAAAATAACAGTTACCAAATCAAAAAATATTAAGAGTTTCAGAAAATAATACTCAAGAAGACTGAAGGTTACCCAAATTACACGTACGAAGTAGAAACTCGATGCGAACTAGTAAATAAGTAGAAACTCGATGCTAGGGTTTTTGAAAGGAAAATGAATTTTGAGTAATTGAGAAAATAGAGAGGAACTGAAAATGAAAAGTAAAATACTACTCCAGAAAACTTACGGAGAGCGAGCGAGTCGGTAATGGCGAGAAGAACTGTTGACCGGAGGAGATCGTATTGGAGGAGATGGTAATTTGGAGCTGCTCTAATGGCTATCTTCTGCAGCGTTTTGACCGCTTTTTAATGAGATTTGGACCAATTTTCAGAGGTGACTGTTTTGAGGTCTTTTTGACTGATTTTCGTTTGGGCATTTGGGGCTGCTTTTTGACTGATTTCAAGGTGATTTGGGGTAGTTTTTGCTGATTTTAGGTGGTAAAGATGACTGGAGGAGATTCCGATCTCCTTGTAATTTCCGATAGTGAGCTTGTACCCTAATTTTAGGGGTTTACATATTTCATAGTAGTATTTTATTAGGTATAAAAATAAAAATTAAAAATCAGATGGTGGGCCACTTTCATTTTAGCAGGTATAGAAAATTTGGGTGAAAAATAAGGTGTGAATTAATAACAGTAACAATAGATATAACCGTTACCATAGATTGATTTATTGCTACGGTTCTACAAAACGTTGCCATATATACCTCTATCGGAACGGTTTTACTATTGCAACGGTTCAGTTGCTAAATGTCCCGGTAGTTCCAATAATATTTTGTAATGGTTAAAACCGTAACAATAGACTACCTATAGCAACGGTTACTGATCCGTAGCAATAAAAAGCGTTGCCATAGCTCCAATTTCCAGTAGTGCATCCTCCTTACCCTCCCTTCCACCACCCTCTCCCAAACTTTTATGGTATGACTTAGCAACTTGATGCCTTATAGTTATTACAATTTTGGATATCACCTTTGTTCTTATACAACAGAATCATTGTACTACATATCCACTCATCTGGCATATTCTTCGTCCTGAAAATAACATTAAACAACCCAGTCAGCCACTCCAAGCATGCTCTACCCACAAACCTCCAAAATTCTACTGGAATCTCGTCTGGTCCGGTCGCTTTGCCCCAACTCATCCTACGTATAGCTCCCACGACCTCCCCAATCTTAATACGCCTACATTACCTAAAGTCTCGATGACTCTTGGAGTTCCCCAACTCCCCTAGCACGATGTTACCGTCCCCCTCTTCATTCAGAAGTTTATGAAAGTACGTCTGCCATCTATGCTTAATCTGGGACTCTTCCATCAATACTCTACCTTCCTCGTCTTTGATGCACCTCACTTGATCCAGGTCACGAGCCTTCCTCTCTCTCGCTTTGGCAGCCAAAATAACTTTTTGTCCCCACCTTTGCCCTGCAGTTCCTCATACACCCGATCAAACGCAACAGTATTAGCCTCCGTGACCACTAATTTTGCCTCCTTCCTAGCTTCCTTATATCTTACTATGTTCGCTTGCCTCTACTCCTTGTCGGTGCTCTCCACTAACGTAAGGTACGACGCTTTCTTTGCTTCTACTTTACCTTATGCCTCATCATACCACCACCAGTCGTCTCGGTGCCCGCCAGAGTAGACTTTCGAGATCCCTAACTCCTCTCTCGCCGCCTCCCTTATACAGTCTGTTGTCTTCATCCACATAGCGCTAGCATCCCCACCACTCTTCCAGGCACCCATAGCCGTCAGCCGCCCCTCTAACTCCTGCACATTATCCTTTGTCAAAACACCCCACCTAATCCTCGTTGACCCCATACAAACCTCTTCATCCTCTTTATCAAGATACCTGCGTCCATCACTAGGAGCCTATGTCGAGTCGCGAGGTCCTCACTCGGGATCACCTTACAATCCTCATACAACCCCCTATCACACCTCTTGAGGAGGTGATAATCAATCTGAGTCGTAGCCACCATACTTCGGAAAGTAATCAAATGCTCCTCCCTCTTCGGAAAACTAGAGATCGCGATTACCAACGCAAAAGCTCTAGCGAAATCCAATAGTGAAGTACCTCTTTCGTTCCTATTCCCAAAGCCGAAGCCACCGTGCACCTCGCCATAGCCTCCAGCAGACGACCCAATATGACCATTGAAATCCCCTCCTATAAATAACTTCTCTGTAGGCGGAATATTCCGCACCACCTCATCCGATCCCTCCCAGAAGTGCCTCTTAACCTCCTCGTCCAAGCCCGCTTGCAACGCGTAAGCGCTAATGACATTCAGAGTGCTCCCTCCAACTACTGCTTTAATCGCTATCAATCTATTATTCACCCGCCTATCCTCTACCACTGACTCTCTGAGCTCCCTATCCACCAAAATACCAACTCCGCTCTTGCCCTTCACGCGTCCGGAGTACCATAATTTAAACCCGTCCGCATTCCTCGCCTTTAATACTACCCACCTAGTCTCCTAAACACATGCTATATTGACCTTCCTCTTCTGGAGAATCTTCGCCAGCTCTATAGACTTACTCGTTAATATCCCTATATTCCACGATCCAATCCTTAACCTACAGGCTCCTTTGTTCCCTTTACCCCCTCACGGCCCCGTCCCACCCCCTGACCCGTGCCCTACCTCTACCCCTCCACCTATCCACCCCGAGGACATGACCCTACTCTACCATTACAAACAACAACCGCTATACCTACGGTGGTCTAGACAAAAAATGCAACTACAGACAAGCAAAGGTCCAAACTCGAAAGGAACAAATATTACGAACTACTACAACAACAAATTAACTAACACATGAGAAAGAGAAATAGACGATGGTAGGTACCAATTCCCATGAATAGAACCTGGACTTTCGACTTGCTATACCCCCGATGCTGTGGAACCCGACGTCCAGCCCTTGTGACTGCCAACCAGTCTGCTCTACTGCGTTTGCGCATGCACCTCCCACCCATCACCAAACTACCACCAAAAAGTGCTACCTGAAAAATACACAACACATCACGGTACCAAGAAAAATAGACGAGAGCAGGACTGTCACCGTCACCACCCAGTGAGACACGGATCTGATGGTGGCCCGAATGATATTAGCCGGACCGGATGTCACCGGAGAATAGTGACGGGTCGAGAAACAATGGGTAGGAAAAAGTATAAAGAAGAAAGGAAGCACAGATGATGGGATTGGGGTTGAAGCTGGAAAAAGTAAAAGAAAGACAGAGCGACGCTGGTGGTGCGACGGTCGTCGGCCTAGTTACTGCTATGGTTAAGAAGGGGGAAAGAAAAAAAGGGGGAAGAAAGAGAGAAAGGTGGAGAGAGATAGAGAGAGGAGAGAGGGGGGGTGTGCTTACCTCGTCTACTCGTCCACGCCGGTTCCACAGCTGGAGAAATTTGCCGGTGGAAATAACCGTTATACTTAAGACTGTCGAAGAGAGAGAAGAGCGTGTAGGAGTTCAAAATCTAATATTTCAAGAATAAAGTACTCGCAAATGTTGAACTGTTGTTATTGAATTTCTGGTTATTGATCAACATTTTAAGTTAGTAAATATAAATAGAACCAAATCGAAAAATTTATAAAACCGATAATAATTATATTTAACTTGATTTGATTTTAATAATTAAAAAATTAACTAAATTAATTTGATTTTGATTTTAACGAAAACCAATCCAACCTAACACTGAACACCCCTAGACATAGAGAAAAAAACATCCTTCAGAGATAAGCTAACAACCTCTAATCCAATGACCTTTGCACTAACTGTGAATCAGTCCGACATGGAACTGTCAGAAACTCCCCCAGAAGAAGGAACGTTCGAGCACTCAATGATATCTGACGCATGAGGCATTAAAATTATCTCGTTAACAGAGAAAGATAGACAACGAATTTATGAGCCCTGGAAAAATTCTATCATTGTGAAGCTAGTGTAAAAACGTATGTTACACCACTACTTAAAGAAGAAAATTCAAGAATTATGGCGGCCAACGGAGGACTTCTCACTAATTGATCTTGGAGAAGACTATTACATAATCAAATTCAAAAAAAAATATGGAAAAAGCTATTCATCAAGGGCCTTATTTCATCAATGGTCACTTTCTTTCCATTACAAGAGGGAAACTAAATTTTGTGGCCACAAAAGAAAAATTAACTGCATCGGCAATATGGATTAGGCTTCCTCAATTGCCTACAGAATTTTATGATGGCAAAATCCATGAAAAAGTTGGGAATGCAATTGGACGCCTACTAAAAATTGATGTTTGTACATCAACCACGCTAAGGGGCCGTTATGCAAGGCTTTTTGTGGAACTTCCACTAGAAATTTCAGTCCAATCTTTCCTATATATTGGCCACCACAAACAATACATCCATTATGAGGGAGAAAACTTTCTTTACAAAAATTGTGGAAGACTTAACCACACATTAAGACAATGTATTTATATTCAACAGAATACCAAAGTCATTATGGATCCGGCCAAGGAGCAACCGACAACAAAAGTAGAAAACCCACAAGAGTGGAAAACAGTGTCTTTCATCAAAGGAAGAAAGCAAGGAATAAGAGGTAATCAATAATCCAGCAACAATGCAATCAAGAACACCAATGGCCCAGGTATCTCGGTTAAATTATTCAATACTAATACTGGTAAGTATTTGGATACTCAAATATTACAATATAAATCTAAAGATCCTACGAAATCCCTAGAAAAAAATAGTGCAAGAAATCCGGCCACCATGGTTAAGGAACAAACGACTATTCCAATAAAAAATAATTTCTCTCTCTTGGATAGTGAGCTAATAGTTTTAGAAAAACCACTAATGAGGAAAAAATTAATAATACAAAAACTAATAGTAGCCATGAAAATGAACACATGTCCGCTCCAAATACGGACATTGACATGCTGGAAAATAACGTGTCTTCTACAAATAAAAAGAAAAATAGCGCCATGCAAAAAAATTCACTAAATGACAAAACTAACCCCTCTACTAATAATAACCCTACCGTACCTATTAACCAGCATAACCAACAAACTGGTAGTAATCCGTCTTTAACCAAAAATTATGAACAAAATCTTTCCTTACAATCCCACCCCAAAGCATGTCATCCAAATGGCAACTAAAGATGACAGCATTGCACAAATGTCCTCCAACCTAGAACACGAAATGGATACTATATCCATGGAGGATCAACCTATAAAACAAAATATTGGGCACCCAAAAGCCATGCAATTGGCAGCCCCAATCATTACCTTATCTTCCAATCCCTCTCATACTACCAGTAGCACCAATCCCATGCTTGTTACAGGGTCTTTAAGTATACAACATTCTATTAAAAATGCCAAGACTCCCATCAACCCTAAGAAGAATACACAGACTCACTCAACTTCTACGACAACACAGAGCTCAAGCGATGGAGAACCTACCACCCTTCCCTCCACAACCAGAAAACCCTCAGATCATTTATGTCCAACCTCCACAAGCACAGGACTACCAACCTGTCTCATGGATGGAAATATGTCTAATGGGACATGCAGTCTCATTCAATCTCCAAATCAATGGCCAAGAGTCGATAGTCATACACAACACCCAATACCTAGCTCAGTTGGTAACAAAGGGCATGGGGCTTGTGATGAACAATTATCTAAACCAAGTTTGGCTCAACAACATCCTCCAACCCCTAGCTCTTTCAGTGAACCCACAATTGGTGCATGCAATGAGAAACCAGTGGAACATGCCACCCCATTTCAATCCAATCTACCCACAGAATGCTCTCCTAAACATGCCATTCTTCCAACCAGAGATGCTATCCCAACTCAATCCCATATTCATGCCATGGGAGAGCCCACAGTAAGCCCATGAGCAACCAATTCCTCCAATATACCAACAACCACCACCACCACATCACCAAGCAATTTAGGATCCAGAACCAGTAGAAGCAGAAATGGAGGAGGAAGAGGAACCCCTCAATCTAGTCATAGAACAAGTCCTAGAGTTCTCAAATCTAGACGGGGTAAAAGTGTATCTCTTCACGGAGATGCAAGAGAAGAGGCATGTGCTCAATTGCCCACTAGTACTATACAAGTGCTCGATGGAAATCAGACCACCTCAGGATCCAATAGTGGGTAACAGAGCTATGATTCTAGTTTCATCACTGAGAAGGAATGCAGTCCTTCTGGGGGAAGTGAGGGAGAATGGGGAACCAACAAACTCAAACCTTAATATCTCTATGAATCGTCCAACAAATTTCATCATATGGAACATAAGGGGTGGAAACAACGACAATTTCAGAAGGAATTTTAGGGAAATGATAGACACTCACAGGCCATGCATGGTAGCCTTGTTAGAGAGTAGAATGGGAAACCATGCTGAGATGCTAAATGACTTTGGTTTTACGGAGATGATAGAAGTACCAACTGAAGGCCAGGCAGGAGGCATGGCTGTGATGTATAACCATGAGGTAGTGACTGTCCAAAACTTCGTCTGTAGGAATCAGGAAATCCATGCAACAATAGAGGTATTACCTATTCGTAAATCATGGCTTCTTACTTCAATATATGCTAGTACTGACATGCTTAATAGAAATGTGATGTGGGAAAACCTAGAAAATATTAGTAGGACTTATAAAGGGCCTTAGATGGTAGGAACGACATTTTAGTCTCAAATAAAACTTTTGGTGGAAAACCCTTAAATGACAGTAGAGCTAAGTATCTTTGATCAAAAATTAACATTTGCAAATTACTTGATCTATGCTTTAAAGGGTGCAAGTATACTTGGTCTAATCACAGACATAAAAATAAGGGTCTCATAATGGAAAGACTTGATAAAATATTAGAAAATAAGGAATGGGTAGAACTATTCCCTAAAAGCTCTATAATACACCTTCCTAAGACTTATTCATATCATAATCCTATCCTAGTAAAATTAATCCTAAAAAATAGACTTCTTCATAAACAACCCTTTAGACCTTCTGGTGCAAGCATTCGGAATTTCAATCAATTGTAAAAAATTATTGGTATGATTATGACTACTTTAGGGCTAGCCAAAATTTTGTGGACAACATTACGTCTTGGAAGGATAAAACTTTTGGTGATATAATGGGTAAAAAGAGAAAAATACTAGCAAGACTTCAAGGAATCCAGAATTCCAGGAATTATGCTATAGTAATTTCCTTCAAACACTAGAAAATAAATTAAAAAAGGACTATAATGACTTGCTTAAGATTGAAGAGGATTATTGGAATATATGGTCTAGGGTAATGTGGCTTAACGAAGGAGATGCTAATACAAAGTTCTTTCACATTTCTGCCTCTAATAGAAGAAGAAGAAGAAATAAGATTAATTTCTTTAAAGATGATGCTGGGAATTGGATCAATGAGCCCCACTTAATTATGTCCACATGTTCTTAGTTATTTCACAAATATGTTCACCACTTCACACTCCAAAGCAAGCTGGATTAGTCCGCTAAAAAATAACCCTACACACTCTAATTTAAACCTAAACTCTCTAGACAGTCCATTACTAGATATTGAAATTAAAAGGACTATTTTTTTCTTTTAAACCATTCAAAGTTCCAGGACCGGACGGTCTTCGCCCTTTTTTTCCGAAAATACTGGAAAATTATAGGCCATTCAGTAGTGAAGCTATGTCATGACATATTTAAAAATCAGGAAATACCCAAAGACATCAAGAGAACCTATCTTTATCTAATCCCAAAAATCCCTAATGCTAATAACATTAGGAATTTCAGAACAATTGGCTTTTGCATTACCATTTACAAATTGATTACAAAAATTCTTGGAAAATCGCCTTAAACCATTCCTTGAACAAATTATAAGTCCCTTTCAAGCAAGCTTCATGAAAAATAGAAGGGCCTCTGACAATGCAGTTATCATTCAAGAACTAGTTTCCAACTTAAAAAAAATAAAAGGCAAACAAAGTCACATGATCTTAAAAATTGATCTGGAAAAAACATTTGATCGATTAGAGTGGTCCTTTGTACATCACACTCTAAGATATTTCAACTTACCTCCTAAATTCTCAAAACTACTATTAAATTGTATATCAACAAGTTCTATAGCAGTCTTAGTTGATGGCTCCATCACTAAATTCTTCGAGCCAAGCCGAGGAATCAAGCAAGGTGATCCCATATCACCTTATATCTTCATCCTTTGCTTAGAAATGCTATCAAGATACATAAATCATCAAGTTGATATTAGGAATTGGGATCCAATAATCACAGGAAGAAGATGTCCAAAATTTTCTCACTTATTCTTTGCAGATGACCTTACTCTTATGGCAAAGGTTAATAATAAATCATGCCAAGCTATTAAGAGAGGATTATAATATTTTTGTGACCTGTCAGGACAATGTATTAACACTTCTAAATCCAAAATTCTCTTTTCAAAAAATTATCCTCCAGCTCTTATTAAGGATGTTACCAATAGGTTAGGTATTAAAAAAAGTGAAAACTTTGGCACCTGCCTAGGATTACCTATATTAAACAAATACCCAAGGCCAATGGACTACCAATTCATAATTGA